TTGAGAAGGCTATCTTGGAAGGCAAGGATGTCAATCTAGTTTCGCCGCTGATTGCCTCCCAAGATATTCTGGAGAACAAGACATATTCCTATGGCGATGTCTCGGTTGTACTGAAGGCTAGGTTGAATAGGAAGTTGTCAATTCCTGAGTTCGTCCTGGCCTTTGGTATTTATAGGGACGTGGTGTGCTCAGTTTATCCCGAGCACAGAGAGGAATTCGATTTGTATTTACACAAGCTGGTGGACCTGGGGCATAAGTATGGAGGTACATCATTTTATGATTATCACAGATCATTCTCTGCGAAGGCGTCTGCAGCTCTGGCTCAGTTCAATTTTCAGACGGACTGGAGCCAGTTGGACACGGATCTGTTTTGCAGGCACTTCGCGGGCCTCAGGTCCCTAGCTTGTGGTATTTGCTCTTCATCCTCACATACCACAAACGTATGTCCTAATACCCCGGAGCTGGGTGCTAACTTTCCTTTCCCGACCTACTCAGCTAAACCTGAGAAGGTGATTAAAGACTAGCTTGGTCGTAATATTCTTTTTCTGGGTAAATCTCAGATTTGCAATAACTTTAATGCAGGTTCCTGTGGATTTAGCGCTTGACGGTTATTGCATGTGTGTTCTCTTTGTTTTAGGTCACATGCCAAGACAATGTGTCCAAATAAATTTTTTCCCAAACCGCACATGGCCTCAATCAATGTGACTTGTTTCGCCAACTTATTACAGAACCATCCCTCCCACCACTTGGTGGAGTTTTTGGTAACTGGATTCACAGAAGGGTTCCATATGGGAATTATTTACATGCCATTCGGCATTGTAGAATGTAAGACCCTACTGTCCCCCCTTGCCAATCCAATAGTGGTTAACAATCTGTTACAGATTGAATTGGATCAAGGTTTCCTACTTGGGCCTTTTCTCAGTATGGAGAACTAACCCTATAGGGGTGGTCTCTGGTAAAAGTTCAGCAAAGCAAAGGTTGATTGTTGACCTCTCTGCTCCCCACTCTTCCATGACCCCCAGTCTGAACTCTCATTCCTTCAGAGGAATTTTTCCTTCAGTATGCTACCATTAATAACTCCATTGACGCAATTATAACAGCAGGGAAGGGGGCATGGCTCAGCAGACTGACATCATTAATGCCTTCGAGCTCCTCCTAATCCATCCTTCTTTGTGGCATCTACACGATGTTAAGTGGCAGGGTTCTTACTATTTTTTTCACTCGTCTCACTTTTGGTGCAAAAAGTAGCCCCAGGATTTTCGATACCTTTGCTGAGACTTTATGTTGGTTACTGCTCAATGTCTGTAGATGCCCCACAGTTATTCACTATTTAGATGACTTCTTGACTATTGAGAGTAACTTATTTCCACCCAGTAGCCTGAGAACGACAGTCCAGCTATTCCAATACCTGGGGGTCCCCGTCTCCCCTAAAAAAACAGAAGGACCCGACACGTTCATTAATTTGATGGGTATCACGCTAGATTTGGTTAATATCCTTGCCAGTTTGCCTAGAGATAAGATTGAGTGCATCCTATCCAGCAACAATATATATCTCTCTGTGGGATCTTGTAAATCGTATAGAATTACAGTCTCTACTAGGCTCCCTCAACTTTGCCATGAAAATTTTATATCTAGACTGCTCAATCTATTTCCCCGCTTTCAGTCTGAAATTTCACGCATTTCACTAGAGGTTCCGGCTACCTCAGATTTATGCATGTAGCAGGAATTTCTCATGAGAGGGAATGGGAAAAGCATGTTTATCCCTTTACTTGCCTCTGACTCCCTTACTATTTTTACAGACGCAGCTGCCACCTCGGGCTTTGAGGCTATTTTTGGTGATAATTGACTTTGGGGGGTTTGGCCTATTGAAGTATACAATGTACCAGGTTTTTCTACCACTTCTGCCCTGTTCGAGCTCTAGCCTATTGTAGCTGCTGCAGTAGCGTGGTGAACAGCATGGTCAGGTCAAAAATTATATGTATGCGGAGACAAAGAAGTAGGGCTCTACAAGCACTAGTAATTCCAATATAAACAAGGGATGACACAAGTCTAAATTGTTTTAGGATAATAACCATTAGCAAAGTAGGCTGCAAATTCTGTAAAGGATACAAAGAATCTAGTGGAAAAGGAATGATTATGCATACTAAAGCTATATTGTAGCAAAGATTTAGACGGAAAAGTATGGGGTATGTTGATTAAGTACATGCAGTAAGAAAACAGATACAGGTACTTCTATATGCTTCAAAGTGTGCCGTTAGATAAAAATTTGTAATCTATATAGGAAATACATTGATACATACTAGATTCACTAAGCGCTTTAAATGTTCATGTAACAAATCATGCAATAAACACTGAACTTATAGAAATACAGACATGGCACATTTCTCATTCAAGCCCTTAGGGTAAACAGTATTAAGTGTTTTAATCCAATATGCTTCACGTTGAAGTAGTAATATTTTCCAGTCTCCACCTCTATGAAGAGCATGGCCAAATGCCAAAAAATCATCGATAAATCAACGGTAGAATACAATATTTCTGGCAAATGGTTGCAAGATATGTTGGGTTTCAAATGCAAACATGTAGCTATTAGCATACATAGGAGCCATTGCCGCCCTCATAGATGTGCTTGAAATCTGTTGGTACCAAGAGTGTTCTAAAATAGTTAGATGTTAGGACTATCTCCAATATCTCTAGTACATACTCTATGGGGGGGCCATGGTAGACTGAAGAGTTTTGTAGCACTTACTGCATTGCTTCAATGCCTGCATCGTGTGTAATTATTGTGTACAGACTTTTCACTAGATGAGTGGTGTCGTCTGGTAGAGTAATTTGGTCCAAGTTTCAGTAAATCAGGTGTATCTTTAATGCATGTTGTTAGCTTCTCAACCATACTTTCAAAAAAAGTCAAGCCATTTAGCAAGAGGCTCTAAGACCCCCACCTATTAGACTATAGGCCTACCCGGTGGGTGGTCCATATTCTTATGGACCTTAGGTAGGTTTTAGATGATTGGTGTTTTTGGTGTAGATTGGATTAAAAATTTCTGTAGATCCTCAGAAAGATAATTGGCTTCAAAGCCTCTCTGTATTATAGAAACAACTTGTTGCATGATTAAAGTTGTTGGGTCACCAGACAATTTCGTATAGGTATTGGTGTCTTGTAGTTGAGATAGGAGCACTATAAAATTAAATATAGAATACACTGCCATGCAGATCATGTGATTTACAAGTTCACTTGCCCTTGTGGTCTCATCTATGTTTGAAAATACGCACTCTGTGGGAGAATTAGGGGACACAGGTCAAGTATCTGGCTTGCCTATAGAGATGGCAAGTCGGACAAACCTGTGGCCCATCACCATCTCTCGACACTTAGATGTGTTGCAATTGATCACAAAAAATTGTGGATCCTTGTGTTGAATACAGTGTCCCCCAATGGACTTAATGAAAAGTGTTTCTTTTTACCATTCCTTCAATGATTATATTATTGTGTGTTGACATTTATTTACCTTGCACACTGAAATCATTGTGTGTATATATAGGCATTTTTATTTTTATTACTAACTGTATTTTATGTGTTTGCTCTATTGATTTATTTACATCTGCTATTGTTTACTTCATTTTTTTATTTCCCTTACTACCCCTACTAAGTGGCTCATTCTATCTGATGCATTAAATTGCTATTAACTTTTTTTGTATCCCATAAGTTTATTTGCTATTTATTCCATGGTATTTGTCCACTAGGCCCTTATGCATATTTTATTGGATTCTAGCTATCTAGATCATTAATCATATTCATAATTTTCTGCACAACATACTTAATGCACTTTATATTGCACACCTTACTCAAAGCACTTTATATGCAATTGATGTCACCCCTCCATATAATGAACACATCATCGATAAATCTATGGTAGAATAAAACATTTCTGGCAAATGGTTGCAAGGTATGTTGGGTTTCAAAAACAAACATGTAGCTGTCAGCATACATAGGAGCCATTGCCGCCTCCATAAATGTGCCAGATATCTGTTGTTCTATGAATATTTTAGACATTTTGTTGTCTCCCTTTACACTACTCATCATGTTTTAAAATTATGGATTCGTCATGATTTTTTTCGATCACGTTTTTTTTGCACTTCAGATTCACTGTTTATCGATTTCAGCACCTTTAACACTACCACTTTAAAGGGACACTATAGTCACCTGAACAACTTTAGCTTAATGAAGCAGTTTTGGTGTATAAAACATGCCCCTGCAGCCTCACTGCTCAATCCTCTGCCATTTAGGAGTTAAATCCCTTTGTTTATTAACCCTAGTCACACCTCCCTGCATGTGACTTGCACAGCCTTCCATAAACACTTCCTGTAAAGAGAGCCCTATTTAGTTCTGTTTAATTGCATCATTTTGCTATTATATGATGAAAAGTCATGATTTTATTAAAGACACGGAGGCGAGTATTGCATATCCCTTTCTTTACTGTCCACCAATAGCAGCAAAGAATACAAACAGAGTGAAAAAATAAGGAACATACAGTAACATAGGCCCCTCCCTGCTCTGGTCCCAGTATAATAGGCAGCACTTCCCTTCCATTTCCCTCTTTCTGAAGATGCGACCGTAGAAAATTACTGTCCAAACCAAGAACAGTGATAATGTCCAACAATAGAGAAATTTAGAACTGAAGAAGATAACACTTCAACAACAAGGAAGCACGACCGGATGCACCATAGGACCAAAGGTCATCAGCTGTGGAATCCTCAGAAGATGAAGCATGGCATGCCATCTTGTCGGGTCAGGCTGTGAAGATATAAAGGAACAGGAGCCCACAGGTTAAAGTCTAGACTTGCAACCAATTTCAAGGCCAAACTGAGGAAAAAATCCCACATATATACAGTCCCACAATTCACAGTGATTAACAAATCAATGTACATAGACACCACCATCACTACACGGCCCCACTTACCGTACCAAAACATTCGATGTGACTCGTTGCAACATTCAGCATATCGGGTGGGAAAAAATTATATAACATAAGAGAGTATAACATGGGTGGGACAATACTCGCCGCCGTGTCTTTAATAAAATCATGACTTTTCGTCATGTAATAGCAAAATCATGCAATTTTATGACAAGACACGGAGGCTCGTATTGCAAGTTTAAAGCTGGTCCACTACTGCAGCGAATGTATGCGGGGCCGTTCGAAAGTAAAACTCCCAAAAAGTAGACTCCCTTGACCAATCGGCCGTCCTCATAAGGTCCTCCAGACGCGCACCTGCAGTCATCATCGAAGAATGAGTGCCAAAGACCGCGGTATCAGTGCCCGCCTGGGTCAATAACCACTTCACCCAGCGTGATAATGTGGTGCTGGAGACCGGGTGGAAAGGAGGACGAAAGGATAAAATCAGCTGTGGAGAGAAAGCGGTACGGTGAAGTTTGGTGCGATTTCCGTATTCGCGTAGGCAAGCCACTGGACACAATGCCGGAGAGGCAGGAAAGCTCGGGTAGGATACCGATTTGATAGAGGTCTTAGTCCGCCGACTGATGTTGAACGTCACCTCGTCAGGGGTGTATGACCTGGCGTCAAAGTCCAGAGCTCTGACGTCCGAGACCCTCTTGCATGAGACAAGGCAGAGTAGGCAAACCAAAACCAAATATACTTTAATATTAAAATTACACAATATAAAATTGTGTAATATTATATTGTGTAATTTTAATATTAAAGTATATTTGGTAACTTTTATTGTACCATTTATCTTTTAACACACATTCACTATTTACCTGGCATTCTTTTATCGTACCTGGATTCCAAGTAATCCTAGGTGGGGATTATACCACCAGCGCTAACTATAAGGAGCAGTTGATCTGCTCCTATCTTGTGAGTACCCATTTTTATTATTTTATTCTAAAGTTTTTTATCCAGAGAAAACTATTGGCTGTTTTTTTTTATACCAAGTGCTTACCATACCAAGGACGGAGAAAACAGACAAAGGAAACTCTATTTATATCTCATAAGCAGGGATTAAACCGCTGTACGCCTTCTACACCAGAGCGGGTCACAGCTCTTTTAAATGTGAGTTTGCATTCTAGATTTTTATATTTTTATCTTCTCCATTGTTGAATATACTAAACTATTTGGCTCTCTATTCATCCCTTATCTCTTGCATACGAGTGGATCCATAAGGAAGATATCAATAAAGACAATTACCTTGGACCAAGTATTATTACAACATACGACCGCAACAGACGCCTCAAGATAAGACTTTCTCTTTTTATCCATTTATTTTATCTGGACTATTTGTTTTACACTGAGTTTTATTCAGCGCAGCCCTTACTTTTATTTATCTTTTCTTGGTGTTACGTCTAGGGGTTTTTGAGGGAATCCCTTATAGGGTTGCTGCTCAATTGTGTTATTTAGCGCTTACTCATTGCTTTGGTTTTATTCCAATTTAGTTAGGAACTGTGTCATCTTGGGGTCTACCTCAGGAGTGTCACAAAGCCTTGGACACTCCGCCCTCAGTTTGTTGCGGGCCGATTTGCTAAGGGGGCGCCGTACCCAATTCTCTACATACGTGTCAACGTGGTGGGCCGGGAGCCACTCCAACGATCTCGGATGGTGTAGGTCATCCGGGTCGAAGAGTGGGACACCCGACGGATCCACGAGGGTGGACCCCGCAGTCGCGGAGTGCCTAGTCCCCGGATCACCTCCGGACGTCTCTACCTGAGCAGAGGAAAGGAAGTCAAAGCCTGTATCAGCGGCAACCACATCAGAGTCACTGCCCGACTCAATCTTAGCCTCCTCATTTGACCCGATTTCTGAGTCGGAGTCGCTCTCTAACTGTGCTCTGGCACATTTCCAAAGGCTCTTTTGCGTGGGTGGGACACGCTTTCTGGGGCGACCGTAAGTACGCCAGACATAGTGTTTCTGGAGGCAGAGGGATGTTTTTGGTCTTTTTTGGTGTTTCTCCCTATGGGTCCACAGCAGGACGCAATAGAGGCGTCGTGGAGCCTGAATAATGCTCGTCCGAAGGACGTTGCAAGGGGGCCTGTGAAATAGTATGGGAGAGGGTAGATGACATGGACCCCATTGCCGCCATAATGGCGTCTGTCACCGAGCGCTGTAACGCTAAGAACTGTACCCCATCAGGGTGGGTGGTTCTATCTGTCAGAGTGGGTGAATTGACCGAGGTGAAAGGGGCCTCACCCATACTCAGTGGGGTATCAGACTCCCCAGAGGGTGGGGAACCAGAAGTAAGTCTGGGTTTAGGCATGATAAAGGATAGCAGGAATGTATGGGTTAGTCACCCAAAACAGAAGCAACAGGAAAAAACGATCTCACCAGGGCCCAGACTAGTGGCACACTCAGACACAGGGTAGGGAAGAAGAGAGGAGGTCAGAAAATGGCCGCCGGTAATCTCGCGAGATTCACGGCAAAAATCGAAGTTCGTTAATGTAAGGGAAAAAACGAACGTTCGGCACATAAAGGAAGCGAATTCGTGGAAATAGATAGGCAAGTATAAGGAAGAATGTAAAACAGGCGAACGAGCCGTTCGCGTAAGGTAGTCGAAAGCGGCAAACAGGCGAATGGCGCTATCTGCCGAATGGTGAGCAGTATGTATGCGTGACGAATCAGCCGAATGGGCTTAAATCGTGAGCGCACACAGCCGAATATAGGGGGAAAATGTGCGCAAATGGTGCTGAGGGACAGAGAGGACAAAGGAGAAGAAGGATTCAGGGTAAAAGCAGTAATAAACAGAACAGCATGACAGGGGAGGTCTGGACCCTGGGCACATGAGAAAACACTCGGAAGCATAAAGCAAATAGAGAGGGTAATTAAGCAAACTCTAAATAAAATAGAAAAAAGTTATACTAGTATAATACTAGTTACTAATAAAATAAAGCTATACAGTATAATACCAGTTACAATAAAATATCAATAATAATAAAATCAATAAGAAACAATAGTATTAAATAATATCAATAGGAAACAGGACAAAATGTGACATGTACTTACTTTGTGTCGGAGCAGCAAAGAAAGAGGGAAATGGAAGGGAAGTGCTGCCTACTATACTGGGACCAGAGCGGGGAGGGGCCTATGTTACCGTATGTTCATTATTTTTTCACTCTGTTTGTATTCTTTGCTGCTATTGGTGGACAGTAAAGAAAGGGATATGCAATACTCGCCTCCGTGTCTTGTCATAAAATTAAGATTTTCTTATCCCCTGCTATGTTAATAGCTTGCTAGACCCTGCCAGAGCCTCCTGTATGTGATTAAAGTTCAATTTAAAGATTGAGATACAATTATTTAAGGTAAATTACATCTGTTTGAAAGTGAAACCAGTTGTTTTTTTTCATGCAGGCTCTGTCAGTCATAGCCAGGAGAGGTGTGGCTAGGGCTGCATAAACAGAAACAAAGTGATTTAATTCCTAAATGACAGTGAATAGAGCAATGAAATTGCAGGGGAATGATCTATACACTAAAACTGCTTTATTTAGCTAAATTAATTCAGATGACGATAGCGTTTCTTTAACTTTTGGGTTTTTATTCACTTTATCATTTGTATGAATGTATATTTTTATACCTTTTGATGTTAGACTACAATATTTGACAATGATCTATGCACAATTCTTTCTGAACTTGTATGGGTAAATCGTCTGTGACATGTTTTTTAATCTATAGATCCATTTGAACTATTACTGATTGCGTAAGCGTTTGAGTAAATGACAGCATGTTTATAATTTCGAAGCCTTTTGCCACTGGTAGTCGAAAGCTGCTTAAAATCGTCTAGTGGGGTCGGCATGATGCGGTAGCTATGGAGACGCCGTCCGACATACGCAACAGATGGGCGGAGCCTCCTGAGTGCCGTGTGGAGCAGGAATCTCCCTACATCAGCAGGCGTAAGGGCAGCCAATTGCTGACTAGCATCAGCAGTTGCCCTGACAACGCAGCAATAACTGAGACAT